GTTTAATTAATTTCAACGGAAATTAATGAGTTTTTAGGAGGAATCTGCCATTACCAAAACGATATACTATAGCGTACGTTTTTGTAGTTTTTCATCCAAAGGATAATGTTCTATGTCTGGTACCGGCTTTGTGTTGAGAATGTTAGCTTTGTCTTGATTTTCGATTGAATTTGCGAAAGTTGAAATAAGTAAAAAAGTGACTTAACTGATAATTTCAAATGGGCTACTTACTCTGGACTATGACTTCCTGATGAATTATTTTGGAAAGAAATTCAGATATTTGTCCAGTATGTTGATGGACTGCCACAATACAAGCAGCCAAGTCTTCCTTGGCTCTGCCATTTAACCATGCATCTAGGGTTCGTAAATCAACAATCAAGTTGCTTTTTTCAGTTTGTGTACGATGCTGAAGAAATTCTTTTTTATTTTGGGAAGCACTATCTAATTTGGAAATGGACGGTTTGTAGCCATCTTTGTGTTTCGGTCCAAATACAGTAAGATATGTAAAAAGATGAGAATAACAGGTTAGAGGTAAAATTATGTTCCGATTCAAGCGGGTTCTCATTCGAAGCTGTGGTGCTTTTCTGGAATTCGAGTGGGAATGTTGCGAAAAATGGGAATCTGTAAAAGATGGAGTCGACGTTGTGGCCAAGCGGTGAATATAGTTACTCGACTTTTCATTTTGTTGTTTTTCAGATGACCACGCATCGTACCATGATTCAATATCAATGTGATCAGAAAGTCCAGTGAGCGGCATGTGATATTCAGCTATACAAATATTCAAAAAGAAAATATTTAAAGCACGAAATGTGCACTAAAGATAGATTTGTTTGTGAACAAAGTAGTGTGTCATATAAAAACAGAACATGATTATCTAACAATGGCCTACAATGAATTATAAATTACCAATATGCACACTTTAACTTGAAAATTTATTCGTAAAAGATAGACCGAATGTTGTGGTGAATAAGGCTATGCGACTTTTTAGCTTACAGTAATTGCGAATTTAAGCGTAACTCATTCTTGTTAGTGCTCTAAAGATATGCCCATATGCATTTAGAAAGAGTAAATAAATAAATAAATATTGGTATCACAAAATAACGGGTTGTAGCAAGTATTGATAGTTACATTACCTAAGATGAGTCTGAGGGAAAGCTGGATATTGCAAAGATAGTCAACCAAACCATAAATTCCCAAAGAGTTTTATGCGCAACTTGAAGCCTCCTTTCTGATCGACTACTCATTTACGAATCAGACTAAAGGTATCGGTTGTAAAAGTCTGCATACTATTTCAGACATGCAAGGACATAGTTAGTATGTTCAACAAGCTTAGGGAATATGAGATGTATTAAATAAGAAATTAATTATTGAGATTTTTGTCAAAATCGACCACCTATGAAACTGGGATCACTTGTGTAGGAAAAGTCTTTCTATTAGCTACAGCTACTTACATTTGATTGCTTTAATCCATTTTAAATTCACATATAATTACCATATTCAACCCTCATCTATCATATGTTATTTTTCGAATTAGGTATTGTTTTTGTGACTACCAGTAAATCAGTAATATGAGATGTATTCACCCGATTTCGTTTAAGGTGATGAGAGACTGGTAGAAGACCGATGCGAGGTCGAAACTGCAGTCCATTGGT